ATGGCGCAATGGAAGAAACATCTTGTTCAGTCATCATGGAGAGGTGGCTTGTTTTCTGATTCTGCTCGAGCGCCTAACAGGAGTAACAATTTCTTCTTCTCCCTGCAGAAACAAAGCACAAATTATGAGAAACAATAAGATGGTGAATGTGTTAAGTAGGAATGAGCAGTATATTATACTCACATGCTTGATTGGAATTTTCTCATATGTTGTAAAACTTCCATAAGATGGTGAACCCATGGAGGAATCAATTGAAGTCAGGGACTCTCTCCTATGGTTCTTCCTGGGCATCTCCTGGCTTTCAGCTTTATCCGATGCCTTCAGTCCTTTCGTGCGATACGATGAGCTCTTTTGGATGTTGCTCATTTCAGAAGGACATGGCTCTCCGATCCAGTTCCAAGAAGAGGGTCTTTCCTGGAAAGTGTGCTCAGTGCTAAATGGCACAGTAGGACTTGCATCCAGTTTCTTAGTCAGCGATGGTTGAACCACAGAGAAAGCAGGATTTGAGGCTGTGCTCTTCCTTTTCTTTCCATAAATGAAGGCTGTGGATCCGATTAATGCTGAAACCAACGAAGCAATACCCAGCATAGTCACCATGGAAACCTTAAATTCAGTCTCATCAACTGTAAGATCCAATTCTTCTGAAGTTTGAACATTCTCACATGAAGCATCCACTTTTGAGCTTATAGGACCGTGATCCTTGGAAGACTCCACTTCAGCACCAGTACTCATTTCACTTTCAAGCTCCTGGATTCCAGAAACTACAGTGTTAACTTTTTCTGCTAGTGAAATCAATACTATCTCCTCCCTCATGCTTAAATTACTTTCTGGCTCGCTGTCTATGTGATCAGCACCAACATTTTCTTCTTGACTCTGCTCAACTTTTGAACTTTCTAGTTCAACTAAATCAGCATGTGCAGCCTGAAGTACTACTTCCCCAGAAATAAAATTATTGTTTCCTTCTGAAACCTCTTCAATGTTAACAGCTGCTTCAGCCTCTTGGTCAACTTGTTCTTCATGTTCTGGATCAACATGTACTACTTCTACAGTGCTCTCAACCGCTCCAATCTCTGGCTGACCCTTTTCTTCCACAACTTGGATTTCAACTGGTGTTTCAGCCTCTTCATTAACTTGTTCATCATATTCTGGATCAGCATATACTTCTACAGTGTTTTCAGCTGCACCAATCTCTGTCTGACCCTTCTCTCCCAAGGCATCAATGTCAACTACATCAAACTCATACTTCCTTTCCATTTCTTTGTCACTGTGATCAAACAGAGAGTATCCATCAACCCGTACATCCTCCATTAAAGCAGTCAAATTACAATACTGCAAGGGGCCCAAATCGTGTGCACCTCTGAGATGCAAAATCAACTCAGAAATGAAAGAGACAGAATTAGCAGACCAAACCCGAAAATTTCTAGCTAACCCATCAAGACTTGATCTAGCAAATTCAGCCACTTCAGATTGGTCATATTCCTTCAAAAAGCTCAAGTCTTTAAACACATAACTATCAAGTACCGGTGAATGAATAACTGAAACTGACAAAAAAGCAACTACCAACAATAGAAGCAAAGCAGTGAACTTTGATTTCCAAAAGAAGCCTGTCTTGGAGGACCATTTTACTTCAGCAGCCTCCTCCTTTGACATAAAAGTGTTGGTAGTGCTAATGTCGCATGGTTCAGACACATTGACCCCCTGCTTTTCCTCTTCTTCCTCTTCTTCTTCATTTTCTTCTGGTAGATGCTGTTCCTCTTTAACCACTGCATCAGAAGTAACATCTTCCAATTCCTTCTGAGAATATTCAGATTGAGTTTCCTCAGTAGTATCAGTGTCCGAAGAGCTTCCAGAGATGAAGTTATCCTCAAGTCTCTTGCCCTCTCTTTCCTTACTCAGATAATATTCAATTCTTGGGTTGGGTCTGTAATGAAGGAACTGAGGCCTCGGAGAAAGATAATTGGTTTTAGGATCATAAGGAGGAGCAGAGGGATCATCATCAAGGGGTGCTATGACCGGACTGGACTTTGGACAACAAGGTGGAGGACTAATCTTGAAACTCGGGTCAAGATTAACCGAGTCAGGTTCCTCAGAGGCATTTACACAAACAGGTTCCTCTGGTTCGTTTTTGGAACACAAGAGCTCCTTTGAACAAATGTCTTTTTGGGTTTTCGGAGTTGTGAAAACCAAATGAGGGGCAAGGCCTACCTTCATGTGCTCTGGATCCTCCACTCTTGGATTCAAACACGAACTTTTCAAATCGGAGAATGAGACCGATGAAGCCCGAACTGGCTCGTTCCTCTCCGCCAAGATTTTCTTTCTTGGAGACGTAGTGACCTTGGAAGCCGCTGAAATTGTAGGTGACATGAAATTCTTTGTGCCGTTTGAGCCATTTGGGGAACGGACTCTCATCTGCTTCCAGTTCTGGTCCTTGCCGTTTTCTTTGTCCTCGGAATCGCGAAAGGTAACCACGGTTGCCCTTCCCATCGAGCTTCGTCGTGGGTTCTCTGCAATTAACAACAATAAAGCAAGAACACATCAGAAATGGACACGCAAAAAAAATCAGACAGCAAAAGAAGTACAACATATATGAAGTTTCTGTGCCCTTCTCTTATTTTCTCAGCCATTTTATCGGCAACCAAACAGAGAAAATCATCACGACAAAGATAAAAATTCGACTGAAAAAGGAAAATGGAACCTGAAGGACTGTTGGCCGGAGTATTAGGGTTGAAGCTCCTCGGATTTGCATTAATTGAAGGTTTCGCAAATGAGTTCCCAGTAAAGCTTCTCCGCATGGGATTGCCGATTTCAGAGTTTCTTACATTGGGGTTTGGTTTGCCTGCGATTGGTGAAGACGACGACTTGTTCGGAGGCATGGCCATGATGAGTTTGCTCTGTTATTTGGTAAAGAAATAACAAAGGAGAGAATTGAAAATCAAATACCAGTTGAGCAAAGAATGGTAAGTTTTGTGCAATCTTGGAGAATTTGATTAAAGAGATTCGGGGCAGTAACGGCTAGTTTTCAAACGAGGAGAGGAGGGTTTGAATTTAAATGGAAGTTATTTGACCGTTGGGGGATTGGAATTTAATAGTCGCAAGGGAGAGAAAGGGGCTTCAAGCCGTTGGATTTTGAATGTAAATAGCCGTTGAGGATCTTCTTTGATTTAGGGTTGGGGGGTTGAAGAAGGGTGTTTGACTTGATTTGACTATGGAATTATTTTAAGGGAGTTTCATTAAAAGGCCTTTTTTCGCTAATAAATAAGAAAGATACGGGAAATTATAAAAGACAATCAAAGAGAAAGATACATTTTGTGCACACCTTTCATATATACACTAAAAATTATAATCAAACTACGATCAAAGCAAAACCACAGTTTTGATGTAGATTGTTGTAATTTTTTACCATAAATTGTATGCCAAAATTAAGCCAACAAATAATCCTCATCAATCCTCATCCTTGAAGATAAAGTTTAATTAAAACATTGATTCGTATTTTCTCTTTACCAAAAGTAATTTTTTTGCAAGAAGCTGGGAGTCCAAGTGAGTAAGACTCAAGAGTAGTTGCCTCTGCACTTGAGGTTATGTGTTCAAATCCCCTACTCACTCGGGTTAAAGAAAGAAAAATAAACTTTTCCAAATTACTAAGGGCCCGTTCGGTATCATTTTCAAGGGCCATTTTCTGTTTTTGTTTTCTGTTTTCACGTGAAAACGTGTTCGGTGGGTTGTTTTGAGAAACAAGCTGAAATTGTTTTATGAGAATGAAAATGAAAGTATGAGTAAATGTTGAAAACGCCATAAAGTCGTTTTCGTTTTCGGCGTTTTTGTTTTCAGTCTCTCCGAATCAAAGCCAACTCTCCTCCGTCACTTGAGCAAACAATCCAATCAAATTATATCCAAAACAATCAAATCTCCTCCTTCCAACCATAATCAGCCCCAAAACTTCTAGAAAAAAAAAACTCATAATCACACAAATCTGCAACTAAGAAAAAAAAGACAGAGAGGAAGAAGAAAAGAAAAAAAGGGGGAAGAAGAAGAAGAAGAGAAAGAATCAGAAAGGGAGAAGAAGGGAAAGGGAGAAAAGAGAGAGAGAGAGAGAGAGAGAGAGAGAGAGAGAGAGAGAGAGAGGGAGAGCGAGAGAGGAGAGAAACCAG